GAGAGAGAGAGAGAGAGAGAGAGGCAGAGAAACAGAGAGAGAGAGAGACAGAGAGAATCCTTTCGATCAATCAATCAATCAGTCGAATCCATTCGATTAATTGACTGATTGAAAACCAACGAAAAACTCGGAAAAAGCACCCACTTTTTTTTTTTGAATTAAAAATGGCCGAATCTAATCTCAAAGATCAGATGCCCCTTATAGGGCCTTCTTTTTTTTTTTTGAATTTGGTGCCCCTTTTAACCTCTAAAAAAGTACTCCCGAACCCGGACGTCCAATCCGGTAGCATAGCCCCGAACAGAGAAATCGACCGAAACAGTAACATAGAGCGACGAATCAGTAGTCGAGGGAGATCACATGGAAACTTACAAACTGGCTGATCAAGACAATGGCAATATCTTCCCGAGATGTGAACTCCTTGAAGGTATCCTCTATCGTCCTTGTTGATGTCTCTGCAGCAACCGATGACCACAATTAGAAAGACAGCCAATCTCTTTTTCTGCTGTTGCTCTCAATGAAAGGCAGACGAGACGGATTTAGAGGCGTGGGAGTCTATCTATCAATCATATGTTGTAGCACGCTAAGCGCATGCAAAGTGCACACATGGTGGGTGCCCACCCGGACATAAAAGAATAAGTAGGTTACCCAGACGTCTGTACAGGCATGCATCCGGGCAAGATGCCCGGTCAGGTACCCGCCAGGCCACTCCGGGAAGCTCAAAACACTCGTCACCACACATGCATCTGGGTGATATGCCTGGTCAGGTACCCGCCAGGACACCACTAGCAGCTGAAAAGACGTTGTCCACTCATGAATCTGGGCAACATGCCCAGTCAGGTACCCGCCAGGTCAGCCCCGGGCAGCTCAAAAGACTTGTTTTTTTCTGGATCGCAGTAAAGCCTACGTTCAGACTCTTCTGTTTTCCAATGCTCGGAGGGCGAGGGCGAGGGGAAGGGGAAGGGGTTACAAAGAAGGTGTAAGGGGCTGTGCCTTAGTTTGTTTTTCTTTTCTAATTTCAGGCTGTGCCTTAGTTTGTTTTGTTTTTCTTTTCTAATTTCAGGCTGTGCCTTGGTTTGTTTTTCTTTTCTAATTTCAGGCTGTGCCTTAGTTTGTTTTTCGTTTCTAATTTCAGTAACTCAGTTCTTAATCATCGAAATGGAATTCGGAAGTAACCCTTAGTCAAAAGTTGTGTTGTGATTCTACACGAAATCAATTCTTTAAAGCTTTTTTCCAACCAGGCCTGGACCAGCCCAGGAGGGGTGATCCAGGAAACCGGTTTTCAAAAAACAATGCCCTTTCTTTTTTTTCTTTTTCTTGGCGGATTTGTCGAAATCCGCGACAGAACTTCAAATGCGAGGTTTTTTTTTTGGGGGGGGGGGCTTTTCCAGGGGGAAGGGGGGAGTGATTCTTGGGGTGGGCTCAGGGAGGTATTGCTTTCATCTGCCCCCCCCATGGCCCAAAATTCCAATTCAGCACCATTTGGTATCGTGGACCACAACACCAGTTCTTGACCCGGAACCTCAGAGGCTGAACGAGACGTGTTGACATGGGGTCCTTGCCTAGGCTTATATAAGTTCCACCGTACGACGCCCGACAGCAAACACGTTATGGGTTCAGGTTCCAGCTCGTGCACGCAGAGGGTTTTCTGTTTGTCTTTTTCTGTATATGGTCTCTCCAGATACATGTAGTGGAAAAAAAAAAAAAAAAAAAAAGAAGAAGAAGTAGTGGAGCGAGGTCCATTCTTGGGCTTGCACCTTGGGCAGCATAGCTACTCTAACTTCACGAGGCGAAATGCAAACCCATAACTTTCTCCCCAGACATAGAGACCTTGGAGAGAGTTATGGTCCATTCTTGCGAGCAAAGCCACTGCTGAAACATATTGTTCTTGTCCTCCTCACTCAGGTTGGACGAGAGTTATTACCTGTTCATCGCGTCTGGTCCATGGACTATCATACCTCGTGTGCCAAATTGGAAAACCAGGCCCTATTGGGCCCTGCATCTTGAAAAAAAGGGCAGGCGGTTCTCTGCCGCTGATCTTTGCAGATCAGTGGCGGTGATCCTCCGCACGTTCTTTTCAAGAAGTGGGGTCCGAAAGGCCCCGTTTATTTTTTTGCCCGAAGATGCAGCGGCATGTTGATGGCTGGGGAATCACGGAGATGCCCATGACTCTGGGGCACCGCCCCACAGCGTGATGCGCTCGGTTGGACCGGGGGTCTGCCGGGCTGGTCGACTGTCCAGTCCGACCGGCAAGCTCCCGGTCGGGAGAGGGGTCCCCGGTCCAACCGGGAACCAGCCCTGCTTTTTTCTGGTTTCCTTTTCTTTTTTTTCTTAGTGCAACAGGTCTGCCGGGCCGGTCGACTGTCCAGTCTG